GAATGTCCAGGAAAAATCTAATGCTCCAATTAAAGAGCTTGATGAAGACATTTTTGATGATGATGATTTCTACCACCAGGTACATTTTAAGCTTAAAATTCCAAACTTTTATTTAAAAAAGTAATACCTTTAAAAAGATTTTCCTTTAAACATATCAATAGGCCAATAAACATGTTTATTGTCCCTAATGCTACAATAATTTACATGGGGCGCGGTGCCAAAATGCTAAATACCCAATCCTATTTTTCTGATTTGCTTTAAACATAGTGGTTGGTGCATTTTTCTTTTATTACCTAATACTAAGGTTTGCCATAGAGAAACAAATGATGGGGAGACATTTTCCTGTCTGATCGATCTTGGCCCTGCAACTGTCATTTAAATTAGTGGCTCTCAACTTGTGTAACCTCAGGACCCACATTTGTCCTTGGTCATTAAGTCGCGACCCAAGTCGCACTGCAATGGAATGCACAGTATTGTGGTACCGCACGTTCCGGTGTGGGCGATTTTACTGTGGACGGGAGGTACATTTGGGGTGCCATTCAAATGAATGCACCAGAATGCGTAGTAGGTACGATTGCATGGTGCAGTGCATTAATGGCACAGGTCTGTTCGATTAACGCACTTTACTACTGTGAACGGGCACTCACAAACACTGACAGACACACACAACCACAGACACAATATCACACACATTTACACGCTTGTTTATTTTTTTGAAGATCCACCCAGTCTCCCTACCTTACAAGAACTGGAATGGATCCTCAGCCTGGAGCCCAGTGTGGGCTGCTATGCTGTGACGGAGCTCCATTTATATGGAGCTCCCCTTGCGCACCCTGTAGAGGTGTCAGGAGCCAGAATGTGATGAAGCTCCCTCGCGGCCATACCTCCAGCCCACCTCACCTCAAGCTAACACTCGGCAACGGGCAACATATTTTGAATGAGTGCTTGGCAGGAGAACTAATAATGCTGCGCTAGGGGGAGGCAGAGGAGCCTCTCGCCTAGAAAAGTCGAAGTCAAGCGGCGACCCACTAAACACGGTGTCGCGACCCACTTTTGGGTCACGACCCACCAGTTGAGAACCAAGGATTTGGATGACTTTGCCTAAAGGAGTGGTGCATACATAGCTCACCGAAGCATTCAGCAGCTTTTTCAGAGTTTTCCCACCAATTTAACAGCATACATAACTTAGTGTAGATGTAGTATGGAACGGGTGGATATTGAACACCCGACCACACTGTTATTGTTATGTGTGCTAGATAACAGAAACAATTAGGATAGCAAAATAGGCTTGAACTATTACCACCTCACTGAGGTCAAATGATCATCATATTAGCAAAGGTACTTTGAGGCCTGGGATTTATCATATATTTATTATACTGCATCGCACCACGCTGCTCTAAAAAAAAGGACTGCATGCAGTACCGCACTGAGATGTACACTTACTTGGACTGCACTTTTTGCACTTTGTAATAGCAGTTGCTATTGGGTACCACATATAAAGTGTGCACTTATTGCACTTTTGTATTTTTACTTTTACATCTTTCTAATTCACATGTGTGCTATACACAATATATGCTGAATGGATTTATATTCATTGGAGGAATAAGGGTTGAATTTAGAATGATCTGTTAGTCTGTTTAACCACTTTAGTACCGAGGTGCTTCCGGCTATGCTGGGCTCTGCTGCCCCTCGTGCAGACCTGCAAGTGCTACGGCGGGTCTCTGTGGTTGCATCGGAGAGAGATATGCATACTTCCAATGACTAATCTTCCCTTCGCTTACTGAACCTGGTTTAGGCTGTCATTTTTCCAGCTGTAGTGGCCGGATAAGAAGGTGAAGCATAATCTGTGCTTCATCAGCATCTGGGGAGGGGGTATCCTCAGGCGATATTAGGGGTCTAATAGACTCATGTCTTCATCAAGAGGGCATGTCACTTCCTCTGTGCTTTCACTTAGGGGGCTTCTTGGCTGCCTTTGCGGCAGCAATAAAGTTAAGTGTGCAAAAAAAAAAGTTTAAAGAAAATTAAGGTGGCATATAAAAAAAAGAAAAACATTTAAATACACTCTAAATGTCGCCATTTCATGGCCGCACCCAATTTTGCAGTTTGGTATCTATATACCCGACTCAACTCTTACATTTTACAAAATAATTGGGTATTATATAGTGTTTGTGTGCACTAGAATTTATTTTAGTGTATATTTTTCTTAAAATATCAACTTGATAAACATTTTCACAAATAAAAAGTGCAAAATGAAAAATTGCAACTAACTTTTTTTTTTATGCTACAGGGCCTTTCCTTTTGGAAAATATAGAATTCTTTGGGGGTTTTAAGCAGTTTTCTAAACAAAAATGCAGATATTAACATGTTTGTAAATGAAAACAATTGGTATGGTGGCAAAGTGGTTAAGATCCTTTAATTGTACAGGGTTTTATATATTGATTGGTTTAGCATTGAGCACTATTTAATGTTTGTCACATATTCATTGTAGCTATAGTAATTTTGTATATTGTGACAATCATGTCTAGGGTGAGAGCAGGACGCACAGTTGTTCTTTCTTTGCTTGTCAGGTCTAGCCACAGTTTTGTTTTTTGTTTTGTTTCTGAATTTCAGTCCTGCTGACTTGGCTAAAATTCAAGCTGTGTGTGGCTGTGTAATGCTGGCATTACACAACTCAACAAAAGTCAATTGTTCAGTCAACGTTTGTTAGGAGTCGGGTAAAACATCTTTAGCCCTCATTCACACTAGAAAAGGCTGGCACGTACAGCTCTGTGCTGCGTGCACGGCCGTATCGCTCAGCTCCTTCTCTATGGGAGTACGCTGCCGTGCGCCGCCTTACTCTCACCCGCCCTACACGTCCGCACGGGTATTCATACTCGTAAGCTGACAGGATGGATCCTGTCTGCGTCTGAGCCAGGAGACACGCACCCGTACGGGCCTGCACTTGGGGTGAGCGTAGGGCAGCATATGGCAGCGTACTCCCATAGAGAAGGATGGGGGCTGCGTACTAATCACACGTAGCACCTGTCCTTCCTGGGAACTGAGCGATACGGCCATGCACGCAGCACGGGACTGTACGTGCCGGTCTTTTCTAGTGTGAATGAGGGCTTAGCCAAACAGTGTCTGCAGCCAATCGGCTGCAGTCGCTGTTTAGGTATTCTGATAGTGGAGGGTGCAAGTTGTCAGCAGGGAAGATCCAGGCTGTATAGTGCGGTTCGGATGAATCTGTTGTTATGTTCAGCCCGTAGCCTTTTTTATTGAGGTTTTTTTGTGGTCTGTGACCCCCATTAGAGTGATGTCCTTTCATTTCCTGTTTTGATGACCACTTAGGAAGTAAGCAGAAAGACATCAAATGGGACACAGCAAACTATCTTAGAGGATTTTAGCCCTTTAGCTCGCTACTCAAAATTTACACACAAAAAAAATGGTTTTATTGCTGTGTCTCCAATGCAGAGATCTTTGCTCACCTTCTGTCCTGACTACCACTTACGGGCAAATCTACCCACCAGGGACCCAGATGGTAGTAAATGTCTGACCGATCTAACCTTCTAGATTAACCCAGCCAATCCAATTAACCAGTCACCTGGAAAAAAAAATAAGTGGCTACTCATAATTCTGAATTGAAAGTTTATCAAAGGTAAAATGATTAAAGCTGCAAAAGATAGTGCTCGCTCTGTCTCTGAACGTGTATGCACTGGGTGAATTAAATATAGAAACTTTTTTTGGTAGTTCAGCTGAATGCAACATATATATTTTACTGTGAATGGTACTGTGCTTGGAACATCTGTTATCTATAAAAGCAGTTGAGAACTTCTGTTGGATTTTACTCGTATCTACTGTATGTCCCTGTTAAGGAGATTTGCACCTCACTTCTTTTGCATTAACTTTTGTTGAAGCTCCCAAAACGAAAGCAGGCAGCAATAAACATCTTTTCAGTTCCTGTCCTGGTGACAACACAGAAAGTGAGGGCAAATCTCTCTAATTGGGGTAGGGGGCATATGTTCTAATTCACCCCCATTCTTTCCAAATTTAAAAACCCCCCACAAAAAACAAATAATGAATTTAGTTTTGCTTTAAACCTAGAGCTGTTTTCTGCTTTGCAAATACAGTAAGTAGTGCATAAAAGAAGGAAGTACAAATTCTATTTCAGAAAGACTAAAAACAATAGTTTGAGCCTTGCTTTAAATTGTCTATTCAAATATTTTGAAGTAACAGTTTAAAGCATTGATCAAATTTGCTTGTACCAAAATGAACCCTTAGTACTACTTGTATCGTACTCTCAGGGCTTAATTACTGCAAATCAACACTCTTTAATTCAAAATATAATCTAATAACAGTACAGTTCACTGCGAGATGCATATGTTGAATCCAGCTGCGCTTCCAAATAGTCTTTTTTTATAACCATCAACTATTTTTATTCTCAATTCACCCTGCGCAGATGAGTTCACAGACAGATAGCACCGAGTGACCACTCTCTTATGCTGCTTCATAATTTTACCTCTGATAAATTCCAAATTCAGAGTTATGAGTAGTCACATCTTATCTTTTTTCCTGGTGACTGGTTAATTGGGGTGGCGGGGTTAATCTAAATTAAAACTTAAACTAATAGAGGTCAGTAAGGCAACAGAAACACCTGAGTAAAACAAATGAGGCTGCCAGCCGCAACTTTATCTTGGCTGGCTCCCAGGAGGCGATTGGCAGAGAATTAAAGTCGCTCTGGCGTTCTGTAAAGGTGAATAATGGTCGACACTTGTCAACACACAGCGTCTCCACAAATGTTCCAGATTGCAGGACTTCCGTGCCAACTGCTGCCATCCGTGCCGAGTGAATGAGAACAGGAGCAGTTGTCAACATCTGGCAGCACAGCAAGGAATGGGTGCAAGCCTGGGGAACCCTGCAGATTCTAAGTATGGTGCTTGGAGCTGTGGAGACTTTAATCACTTACCGCTCCTTGGCAGCAGGCAACAACAGCATATCCCAGCCTCGTTCATCACACGCAGACATCTGCTGAGCTGTAAGGCAGCTACGCATTAATTTCTCTTTCTTGCTTCCCAAACCCCCTTGTCCTAATGTCCCCCTCTT